GATGGTCACCTACAGGGTGGCAGGTGCAAGGGTCAGGAGCACAGTCACAGGCTCTTGAGGGCAGCCAGCAGCAAGCTCACCTTGATGTGCAGCCGCGTGTCCGTCTCAAACTCCACATCCAGCCTCAGCTTCTCGATGTCCCGGGGGTAATAGGCCTTCTCCCTTCGCACCAGCAGCCCCACCACGCCCAGCGCTGTCTGGTTGAGGCTCTCCAGTGCATAGCTGGGGAAGTCAGGGGGATAGAAGCACCAGGGCACCCCCTGCTTGCCCTCTGCCAGCGGGGGACTCTGGATGAAGCAGCACCCTCGGCTCTCACAGAGCTCCTGGGTCACGACCACACGCCGCTCTGGGTAGCAGTCAAAGCGATGGCTCTCGGGTACCACGAGACATTTTGGGGGTGCTGTGGGTCCGAGCCAGCCCCCCGACACTTGCCGCAGCACCCAGACAGTGATGGTGCTCAGCAGAACAGCGGCCACCAGCAGCCCACTGCCCACCCACCACGGGGCCAGCTTCCCATGGCCGGGGGGCATCGGGGCAGCCCCCTCCTCTTCCACCCGGCATGCTGCTGGCTGTGCTGTCGTCAGCTTCTGGTACGACTTCATTGTCCTGGTGCTGGATGGAAGGGGAGATGTGGCAGGTGTGATGGAGACAGAGGGGGAGAGCTTGCCCAGGCCTCAAGGACAGCTTCCCCCTCTCCTGATGCCTGTGGTTTGGGCAGAGCCTGCCCACCTCAGCACCCTGCAGCATCACATCTGCACCTTCAGCCAAGATGCACTCAGCAAAGGAAGGCTTTGCCAGGGTCAGGTGGTCCTGACCTGCTAAGTGTGGGGAGACACCGACACCTGACTGTCCACCAATCCCGAGGGACAAAGCACCATTTGCTTTTGGGAGGTGGCAGAGTGGCCCCTCAAGGAGTCTTTCACTGGTCTGAATTAATGGGCTGCAGTGTTTCTGGAAGGTGCAAGCAAAACTGAGCTTGCTCTTCCTGTGGGAACAGAGCTGTGATGCTGAGAGCTGCAGCTCCGAGGTGTGGAGCATTTTCTGCTCCGAGCATTCTTCTACTCTGAGCATCCTCTGTCATCATCGTCCAAAGCCCTGACTCAGAGGTTTTAGACCCGAGGAGGGCTGAGCAAGGGATGGCTGGGAATATGCCATTAGTCCTTGCTTTCCACTGATAAATGCTGATTCTGACAACCTCTCAGGCAAACATCTCCCGGACTCTGAGCAAAGGAGACCCCCATGCTCTAGTTAAGTTTGCAGGCAGCAATCTCAGCATCTTTAAAAAAGAGACACAACTTTCTCGTCTCGTCTCCTCACTCTCACTCAGACCCCGCTCCCCTCACCCTCCTCCCTGCAAAGGCTCAGAAAACGGCTCCATCCCCCACAAACAGCTTCAGTCCCCAGCCCTCTCCCACCCCGACGGCTGGACCCGCCGGGGCCTGGCCGCGAACCTCCCGGAGCGGCAGCGCCTCCGCCCGATGCCGCCGCCCACCGCTCCCCGGCGCTGCCAGCGCCGGGCGGGCACGGGCAGCGCCGCGCCCCGGGAGCCCCTGCCCGCCTGCGGGCCCCGCTCCGGCCGTGCCGGCGCTTACATACACGGGTCTCCTCTTGACATTGTGGCTGCGGGCAGCGGGCAGCGGGCAGCGGGCAGCGGGCAGCGGGCGGGCAGCGCTCCCGGCGCTGCGGCTCCGCCGGCCCCGCCGTAAACACCCGACGAGGCGCTCGGCGGCTCCTACCGCGCCTCTCTAGTAGCAGCGCATCGCCGCACGCCCCTCCTCCGCTCGCTCTTCCGCGCTGGGTGCTTTTTTAATTTTATTTTTAATGTTTGTGTCTACGCGGTGCTGTTCAAGGGTGGAGAGCATGGGAGAGCAGCGGGTTTTTTAGGTTTTTCCACAGTTGATGCATGCAGGGTGTCAAAACCCAAAGAACGAAGAGCTCTGTTTAGGTGACTAAACATCTGTTTAGGTGACTAAACCTCTGTGCCCCCTTATAGGGTAGCACTTTATCCCTGCTCAGTGGTTTCAGGGAATCGTGATGCTGGGTGTGTTTTGGGCCAGACTCACAAAATCCCAAACATCCCAGACCCTTTCTCCATCCAAGTTTTCACCAGAGGTCCTGCCTCCCATGCATTCCTTTTCATTTGCTTAACAAGTGTGTGTGCTGCACAGTCTTTCCCACTTTTCAAGGGACTGGAGAGCTGCTCCTTGTTTACTATTGAAGGCCACCGCTGTCTAAAGTTCAGCAGCAAATAAAAACAGACCTTTGGAGCACAGGTACTTTCCCCAGGGAATGGAAACGAAAAGTAACTTGTTGTGAATAGCACATTTCATCCAGAAACAGAATTTTGGGCGACACAGCTGCTCCCCTCCTGCCATATGTGATCTGTCAAACCCCATGTTGTTGCAAAAATTGGGGGCAATACTTTAATTCTGGTGAGCCCTTTGTGTGGGGCTGTCACCACAGAGGGTGAAACCCCTGTCCAGGATGAAGCCAGCCCATTCCTGCTGGTGGTCCTCCTTGAGGATCACCACCTCGTGGATGTCTCAGGGATAAACCAGCCAGCCCATTCCTCAAGGAGGACCACCACCTCGTGGATGTCTCAGGGATAAACCCTGGATGATTTAGAATGGCTCTGACCACTCTTGGTTATCACCACTCAGAGAGAGCACAGGCACAGGTGGCTGTGCTGGGGACAGCAGTGGCCCCAAAGGCTCCTACACCCAGCATCTCTCCTTGCTTGTCTTGGCTCTCTGAGCCACTAGAACCTTCCTGGATGGAAAGGAGATCTGGAGACAAACTTCAAAGCATCAGTGGAGACCACAGTGATGGCTGGAATCTGCCCTCCAGCCCTTAGCTCACCCTGCCCCAGCACCCAGTGCAGGATTTCAGCCAGTGCCTGCAAATCTGGGAGAGGTGAAGGCCAAAGCTGTTGCAGCTACACTGGACAGCAGCTTCATGCCACCCACCACCTGGGAGCTTTAGCCAACCCCATTAGCCCAGTTCCAATGATAAACAGGGATTTCTTAACATCAGGGAGGTGCATTCACTAAACCTTGCTCTGGCTGCCCAGATCCATGGGGCTGTGCCAGATATGAGGCTCCCTGTGTTTTGCAGCTTGTGTTGTTCAAAGGGAGCAGGAGAGATGGGATCTTACTCACAGCCTGTTATGGCCCTTAGAACTGCTCCAGTATTTGGCCCCAAGGCTGGAAAGCACAAATTGCATGGGGCTGACACAGACTTTCCAACATTGTTATGGACGCAAAGAAATCAAAACAAGCACAGCTGAGATGTATGCTGTTTGGTTTAGTCAATTGCCTGTGTTATTGCATTTTTTATGCATTATCATCATTGTTGGATGTCCCCAGGGTCTGAAATACTGTTCACACAATTGGGGTCAGGGGGCTGTGTTTAGCAGCTCACACAACTGCACAAGGAAAGTGGAAGTATAGGGTTGAGGATCCAGCCCTGGGCAGGATTTGGCCCTGGTGCCATGCTCAGGGGGCTGCAGGACAGGCACTGCTGGGCACAGGCTGGTCCAGAGCTAGTGGAGGACAAGGCTGGTCAGTGGCCACCTCCAGGAGCCCAGGGAACAAGTGAGTTCTCCTAAGAGCATTGGGGTGCCTAGGACACATTTCTCCACCATGATTTGCTCTGCAACAACGCTCTGCTGATGCTGCAGCTGGGTCAGGGTAACTCCTGGTATCAATCCAGACTGGGGGCTGAAAAGATCAAGAGCAGCCCTTCCAAGGATTTAGGGGTGCTGGTGCATGTGAGGCTGGATATGAGCCAACAAAGCACTTGCAGCCTAGAAAGCCAACCATGTCCTGGGATGCACCAAAAGCCGAGGGGCCAGCAGGTCGAGGGAAATGAATCTACCCTCTGCTGTGCTCTGTGAGACCCCACCTGCAGTGCTGTGTCCAGCTTTGGGGTTCTCAGCACAGGAAGGACACGGAGCTGTAGGAGTGAGACCAGAGGAGGCACCCAAATTGATTAGAGGGATGGAACACCTCCTGTATGAGGAGAGAATTGGTATTGCTCAGCCTGGATAAGAGAAGGCTTCAGGGAGATCTTATTGCCAGCTTTCCCTGTCTGAAGGGAGCCGGCAAGAAAGCTAAAGAGGGACTTTTGACCGGGGCATGTGGTGGCAGGACAAGGGGTAATGGCTTTAAACTGACAAAGAGCAGGTATAGATTAGATGTCAGGAAGAAATCTTTTCCATGAGGGTGGAACAGGGTGCACAGAAAAGTTGTGGATGCCACATCCCTGGAGGTGTTCAAGGCCAATTTAGATGGGGTTTGCAACAACATCGTCTAGTGGAAGGTGTCCCTGCCCATGGCAGGGGGATTGAAGCGCGATGAGCTTTAAGGCCCCTCCCTAACCAACCATTCTATGACTCTATAAAACGCACCCGTGTGTCAGTGTGCAAAACCCCGGGCCACGCTGCGCCCCCGCCACCGGGACTGATCCGGGCGGTAGGGAGCTGTCGGAGCGGGGTGAGCCCCGCAGCGGGGCGGGGGCACGGGGCGTGGTGTAGAGACGCGGATGAGGATGGGGATGAAGGGGGCATGAAAGAGGAACGAGGATCGGGGTGAGGAAGATGGAGATGAAGGAGGGATGGGGACGGGGATGAGAATAAGGATGGGGATGAAGACGAAGACGAAGGGGGGCGACTACGTGCGGGCAGCGGCGCCCCGCCCGTCCCGCGCCCTTCCCCATGAATGAACGGCGCGGGCGGTCCCGGCGGTGACGCGGCGGGCGGGGCGGGCCGGGCGGTGACGCGCGCGGTGACGCGCCATGCCGGAAGCGGCGGGGGCGCTGGTTGGTCGGCGGCGCGGCGGGGGGGAGGGNNCAGGGGGGGTGGGTCGGAGCAGGGAAGGGGGGGTGGCCGCGCGTTGCCGCTCGATCGCGGGGGAAGGGGCGGCTCGGTCGGGGTCCGGTCCGCGTCCCGCTCGGTCCGGTCGGGTCCGGTTGGGCGCGGGCGGGCGGGGCGGCGGAGGTAAAAGTGCTGAGTCACCACCGCGCCGGGCACGGCTGCCCTGTCACCTCGCACCGGTGCGGAGCCGGCGCCGCTGAACCCCCGCGGGACGAGGCTCCGGCAGCGCCCCCGCACCCTCGGGGACACGGCGCTGGGGGTCCCCTGGGTGTCTGCCGGGGTGATGCTTTCCCGGTCTCTTGTTGTTATTTTTCTTCCCCCCGAGGATGAGCGCGCTGCCTGCCTCTGCCTTTGAATGGCTCTTAAAATACATGTGAGGAAACCTGTTGTGACGCCGCGCGCTCCGCCGACTAAAAATAGCAGCTTTTGTAGTACGGAGGGAGCCGGGGCGCAGCCGGGGCCGGGCGGCGTGGCCGCGGCGTGCGGCGCTGCCCGGGCGTGGTGGCGGCTTCGTGATCCGCTTGTCCGCCCCGGGTTATCGGGCAGGAGCAGCCGCCGCCACCGGGAAATGCCAGGCGGGCGCGTCGCTGCCCGTGGGATGGGCTGGGGGTCAGGGCTGCGGCGGGTGGGGGGCTTATCTCTGCTGAGCACAGCTGCTGGTTGGGTGGAAAGAGGGAGAGGAGAGTGGTGTGTTCGGGCTGGTCCCGCAGCCTGTGGGGAGGGAGGGATGCGTGTGCATGGGGGGCCGCCCTGGAAACGGGGCGCTCTGCGGCCGCCCGGGCACCGGCCGTGGGAGGAAAGGGGACGGTGACCGGGAGCGGGCACTGCCGCGTGACTGTCTGGTGGGTGCGGGACGGTTTGGGGATTTAATCAGAAGTGAGGAGGTGGGTGGGGGGAACCTCTTCAACCTCCCGGTGACGGCAGCGGGGAAGCATCCAGGCCAAGAGCCACGGGAACTGAGATCTCCAAACTCTCACAGTGTGTCAGGGTCTGCTTCCTTCCTCCTCTTCCTCGGGCTGAGAGCCCGCTCCCCTCCCTCGTGGGTTTCTCCGTGGAGGATTTATTTTACAGATTGTGCTGAAAGCAGGCCATGAGGTCTCAAATTAGGAACGAGCCCCCTTTGGGCAAAGTTGTTACAGAAAAGGGAAAGGCCTCCATTTTCGCTTTCACCTGGCCGCCCTCTCCTTTGCCACCGTGCCTAAAGCTGAGCTGGGGCTGCGGAAGGTGGAGGGAGCCAGTGAGAGCAAAGTGTTTCCCTGAAAAGCTGCACGCCTTTTTCTTGCACTTTCATTTTTTGTGAGCCCCGTGGCGGGCGCAGCCCTGCGCCCCAGCCCAGCGCGTCGAGCCGCGGCTGCCGTCGGGGTTTTAGCAGCGGGTGAGTTTACCTGCTGGTTTTCTCTCGCTGGTGAAAGGAGCGTGCGTCCCTCCGCTTTTTCCCCCCTTCTCCTTCCGTGTGTGTCCGCGGTGCTGCCTGCGGAGAGCCCTTCCTCGAGCCTTCCTCGTGCAGTCACTTCCTCGGGCTGACGGACGCCGCGGCGGCCCAATGGCAGCGCGGCCCCGCCGCTCGCCCCGCTCCCGCCCGCCCGGGCTGCCCGACCCGCGGCTGCCGGCGACACCGACGGGGCACTTGCCGCAAGGTTGGGCACACGGTGACTCTGGACGCCCTGCCCGCTTCTGCGGGCTCTGAGCTTGACAGGGCTCTGAGCCCTGTGAAATGTTCCTGGCTGTATTACGCCAGCTTCTTGCCTTGCTTCACAACTGTTTTTGAACCAGAGGTAGAAATTTGTTGGGTTTTTTATTTTTTTTTCCCCCTGCTTGCCTGTCAAGGACAGCGTGCTTTGTCATGTTTTATGTCATTTCTGCGCCGTCGCCCGTCTCAGCAATCTGTTGCGGCATGGAGTTCAGTACTGCTGTGTGCCTCCTGAAAGGGAGAAATACAGATCAGCTTGATACCCTCTGATTTCCATCAGCATCGGAAGATGATTAATGGCATGGAATGTGCTGCAGGACTTGGTATTGAAAATCTCTAGCTGTGTGAGATGTTTGGGAAGCGAAGAAAGGACAGCTGGGAGCGCTGGCCCCTGCGGCAGTCGGGGTTTGCGGGATAAGCTCGCTCGCTGATCATTTTTGTAAACATCCAGCTGTGAAATACTTTAGCGGTGCTAGCACTTTCAATTATCAGGAAGTTTCAGGCTCAGCACCCTGTAGAGATGAACAGGCAATTTCCACTTCTGCCTCAGCTATTGTTTGAGGCTATCTTCAAACTTGGGCAGAGAGTCTTCCAAGCATGAAGCAAGCACAAGCGATGCAGTGCTCTGTGACCATCAGCACAAGGGCTGGGGAGAGGCAGTAATGAGAGCAATTACCCTGGCACTGTGCTCCTGAGTTGAGGGACAGGCTGCATAGTGGATCCCACTGCTTTGCAATATTGCAGGACGCCAAATAGTGATGCTATGTTCCATTATTACAGTTAGTGAAGATCTCTGACTGATGGCTGGCACTTAGGGTCAGGAGCAGCAAAGTCAGGAATCCCAGTTCTGCCCCAGGGTCTGGCTGTGCATCCTAGAAAGTTATTTGTTGCTTGTCCGGCTGGGGAGCTGCAACTCTGGGCTGGTGATGCTGAGGTGTAATTCCAGTATATCTCTGTCACCGCGTTTTACAAGCACGTGATGGAAAAAGTGCTGTAAGCTTGTCAGTACCAGGGCTGGCTGTCGCATACCTTTCCCCTTCAGCCTCCTCCTCCATGAAGTTTCAGAGGTGACACACAGATGTACCCGCCTGGTGCTCCATATCCCTGCTCCCTAACCACAGGCTCTCTGCAGCTTCTGACTAGGTTGTTTACCAAACCAGTGAAGACTGTCTGATCCATGTCCAGGCTTCCCCAGAGAGCGCCTCAGAGAGCTGTGTCCTGGCAGCTCTCAAATGTGCTCTGAAGGTTCCTGAATCTCCCCTTTGCTGCTGGATGCTGGTTCCGATCCATAAGGGAAATGGAAAGCTGGCCAGCTGGGCGAGGGCTGCGTGGAGCTCCTCTAGAACAGTAAACAGTGACTCACCCCCTCCTTGTGTCTTCTCTCTCTTCATGTCAAATATATTGCCTCGCATATGCTTCTCTACTCTCTGATTCACACCACCAGCCCGTCCCTCCCCGCTCTCATTACAAATGAGTGACAAGCGTCAGTCTGCCTTACAGGATGTGTGAAGGTTGTCAGAGCAGGAGAATGGCTTTTTGAGTGATGGGGAGAGGGATGGTGCTCTGCCTACCATGCTGCAATGTGCTGGAAATCGGTGTCGTGCCTCCGAGCGGCAGAGGCACGGCGATGAGGATTTAAGCATCTGTAGTTGCCTTCACCTGTCAGCTCAGATGTTACCCGTGGTAGGCACAACCGTTTGGCTCTGGAGCTGGGAGCAACTTGAGGATAAACGAGAAATTTAAACAGCTGCCTCGGATTTAAATGGCTGCGTTTGGGAGTGAGTAGAGTATTCCCTGCGTAGCTGTCGGTGCCGGATTGAGACGTGATGGCAGAGATCCCCGCCGCCGCTTGAACCTTGCGCTGTTTTTCTGCCCTCGGGAAGTCGTCGCTGGCCTGGCGGAAGGTGAGGCTTGCATGTTTTCAGTTTGCTGCATGTGTGTGAGGATGGAAGCTGAACACCAGCAGGGCTGTCTGCCAGGCACTGATGTTTTGGCCGGGGCTGTCTTTCAGTGTAGAAAGAGTTCTAAAATTCAAGTTCATCTGCAGTTGTCGGGTGTCGGCAGTGATTTTATAGTAATTCCTTAATGTGTAATGCGCTTGGAAAGCCCTGTAGCGTGGAAAGTCTGAAATCTCACTCTGGCATGTTTTCCTTCTTAATTGCAAGCCTTGTGTGGAAAGCTCTGTCCTACCTCTGCCTGAGTCAGGCTTTCTGCTGCCTTTCCCTTTCAAAGCAAAGGAGCTGGGATCTCTAGATGCTCTGAGACTGTCAGACTTAGGATGTCAGCTGGAGACTTCCAGGTTTTTGGGAGGATGCTGCAGGAGGCATAGGAGCTGTCTGAGAGAGGGAGAGGGCGTTGGCAAGGCTGTCAATGGGTAACTTTATTGCAGAATTACAAGGGCTCTTTATGTAACCCACAGTCAAAACACTTGCTGTAAATACGAGCGTGGAGCTGCTCTGGAAAAGCTTTTTCCCCTCACAGTTGGTGTAATACTACTTGCTGTTTTATTGATGTGGCATTCGGAATGTGCCGTACTGCTTACAGAGCAGAGATGTAGCGCGGTCCTTGTTCCAAAAAGCTGAGCTCCTAATTTTAGATGTGATGCAGCAAATGCAATTAAGGAAAGAAGGGCAGGAGCAGGGTAAAGACTAAAAGGGTTCTAATAATCAAATCGCAGGCAGGGTCCCAGAAGACCCCTGTGCAGCATGTTTAGGGAACGCTGCTGGGTATGACTTGTTTGCAGAGTGGTTTATGATTTCATTGCGGGGTTTTGCTTTGTAAGTAACAAATGTAAGGGAGATGACATGCTGATTTTTAGTGTCTTCTTGCTGGTAGCTGAATAGTCCCAAATAATCCTGGTGGGAAGGATTTGGTAGATGAGATGAGGCCCAAGGCCCTGGAGGACTGCTGGTGAGGATTGCGAGTGTTGTTGTATCAGTTTCGAGCAGAGCTGGGACCACACCTGTGCCTTCACCTAGTGCAGAGATAAGACTCACCCTTGCACTCAGATATGAGTGTGAGACTTGAGCCTGTTTGAGTGTTTCTACTTGCTCTATGAAATCTTGCCCTTTGGGTCAGGCCAGCCCACAGTCTCCCACCCTTGGTTTAAGAGGGTCTGGCATCACAATTCCTGATGGTGCCTTGAACCTCCTCGTTAACCTGTGTCAGCAGCAGCTCTGGCCATGCCCCTGGTGCAGTAGGGTGGATCCTAGCCCATGTCAGAGGGATGCTGACCCATCCAGGGTGTTTTGGTGTGGGGGAGACAGGTGTGCAGCAGAGGACGCTGAGCCAAGCGCCTGTGCTGTCCTCCGAGGAATGTGCAGGGTAAGGAGCTGTTGCTTTGGTGACATGGAGCAACAGGTGACAGCAGGGTTTCATCACTCAGAGCCGGAGCATTGCTCAGGGTGGCAGGTGAGCCCTCACGCTGACCCCCACTGGAGGCTCTTGTTTTCCATGATACTTTACATTTCTTTCCATCTCCGCACGGCCAAGTGGCCGCGTTCAGTTTTTCCATCGGCTGGCGCACAAAACGCTTTGAAGACGCGCTGGGTGAGGATCAAAAGGCTTTTTGTGCAGTCGGTGGGTGTGACGGGGCTGTCGTTGGCCTCCCCCTCCTTTCTGCCTTTCCTTTTCCGGCGCTCGCAGCGCGGCCGGTGGCCAGCGCGCCCCTTCCCTTGTAGGGACGGGGGCGGCGAGGGAGGGGGGATGCCGCCGAGGGAAGGAAGAGTTTCTGATGCTGTGGGAATGTGAGCGCTCAAACTCTGTAAACAGCTGGTGACTCACTGCATAACTATGGCACCAACTGCCTGCGGCCCGGCTGCGCCTCTGCAGGGAGGGGGCTGCCGGCCCTTTCCTCTGCGCGCTGGCAGCGCCTCGGCGCTCCTCAACTCCGAGACCTCTTGGCCAAGACAAGGAGCTTTTTCCTTCCCCCCCCCGGCTGCCAGTGGTCTGCGGCTCCGGCCGGGAGGTAGGGGTGGGCAGCACATGCCCGGTGCGGAGGGGAAGGGGAGCGCTGGGGTCTGAAGAGGTGCCCGTGCTCGCGGGAGAGCGCGCAGACAGAGGCTGGGCACATCCCGTCCCTCGGAGGCAGCTGAGGGGGGCTGGCACTCGCCCCCCTGCCCCGTGCCCTGCCCATTCCTGCTGTCCTGGCGAGACGAGGGGCTGTGGCTGGAGGTGTGCCCGGGGTGGGGCTCAGTGCTGGAGGAGAGCAGGGAAGGACTCGCGGATGCTCTAGAAAATGCAGCGCACACCAGTTGCTGTAAGTGGTCCATTCATCACGGAGCATCTTGGCTTGTGTGCTGTGCGGCTGTCCTTGTCCCTCCTCCAGACATGAAGAGCTGTGCTGTCTCAGGCTTAAAAATAGAGGAGGCGCCTAAATACACTCCCTAATATCTAGGATAGTATCTTGCAGCTCTGCAATTACAGGATTATTTTTTTCCCCTCCTGCTCTTCATCTTGATTTTTATGTAAGTCGTGTGATGATGAGATGCCTTGACTGATAAAATTCAAGTGACAGCAGCACAGGCTGAGCCAGCACCTTCAGCCACCCAGCTCCCACTGGTCCCCACGCCCCACCTTTGCACCCCCCCAAATCCCGCCACCCCTGTTTGCAGATATGAATGAGTTTGTTTACTCTCCGACGACCTCGTGATGTCTTTGCACAGACATGACCTGAAGTCATTATTGCTTTTGGGCTTCTCTGTTTCCATGGTGACTGTCTCCGGGTTGGCTACTTTCCCAAGGTCACCATGGCAACTATCAGAAGGGAATCATGCTTGGGATGCTTTGGCTGGATTTTTCATGAATGATTAGGATGTGTGACACGATGCAGACGTGGAAATGGGGAGGGTTTGGGCTGGGCAGGAGAAGGTGGGGGGAGACAGAGGACTCCCGCCAGACAGGAGCTCTGCGGTGCCGCGGGTGTGCAGCCCTCGAAGCCGCCCTGTGTCGGGGGCACCGGCGCCTCACCCCTCCCCTCTGGGGAGCCATAGCAGAGGCTGTGATGGTGGCACGGCTGCCGCTGCCTCTCCCGGGGTAGGTACCATGGGGTGGAGGGGTGGGCAGGTGGATTTTCTGCAGGGCGCTGGTCGGAGGGGTGTAGTCTTGGCTAAGGTGAGAGTGAAGGGCAGTGTCACGGCAGGCTGTCGATGGACACGTCTCCACGTCACTAGAAATATCAAGCAGGTCTGGTCTCGCAGTCTGGGGCTGGAGGGTTGGGAAGCAACAGTCTTGATGCTTTGGGAGAGGTGAACTCCTTCCTGGCTTTGTTATTGGGGGGGCTTTTGTTTCTGTTGTTTGGGTTTGCTGGTAGCGTCTCCTTTGGGTGGGGACAGCGCTGGAAGCAGGTTACAAACCAGGCAGCTTCTCTCTGGGTTGCTGGCTCAATTTCGAGCCGAGCTAATAATCATCAAAATGAGAATGAAGGGAGTTGTTGTCTTGTGGCTTTTCATTCCCTTTTATGAGCAGAGGTAACTCTTAAATCAGTCCCTAATAGGCCATTTGGAGCATCTGGGATGCCTCCAGAGGGAGGTGAGCCGGTGACGGGGCCTTGGAGGCCACGCTCCATTCTCCCCTTGGGAAGGGGTGGCACATGGCAAGGTGGTGCGTGATGCTCAGTGTGACTCTTGTTTACAGATGAATGTGTGTGTCCTTCTTTCCTCCCTGCCCTGTCTTCTCTGCTGCATCTTAGGGTGGTTAACAGCAAAATACGAGGTCTGGGTGTTAAAAAGGAATGCACTTGTCAACACCAATTTCTCTTTCTCTTATCTGAACAGGGTAAAGGATATCTGAATCCATCCCAGTGCTTCAAACAACTGTGTGCTTATTTCTTTTAATGGTGGTTGATTTGGGGGTTTGGGTGATGTGTTTGGTATCTTCTTCCTGCCCTCATCTCTGTGATTAACCTGGAAACCTTGTTTTGTTTTTCCAGTTGCAATTTCTGAGCAGTTTTGTCCGGAAGACTGTGCTCAGGTTATGACGACTAATCCCAAACCGAACAAGGCATTAAAGGTAGGGAAGAAGCTGAGTGGGTGGTGCTGGGTGGCTGGGGAGCCTGTCACAGAGCTGTGCCGTGCTGCTCGTACGTGACTGTTCTTTTTCATTCCGAGAGACTCTTAGCAATGGGTGCTGATACCATTTCCCACTGTCTGCAGGAAAGGTTAGGGTAGAAGAACACTGGCATTACCCAGGAAGAGGCTTGAAGTCTCTGGGATGCCATGGAGGCTGGCATATCCCAGCAGCTACCCGAGAGAGTTCTGACTACAGGAGGTATTGGCAGCATCCTGAAACCAGTGCTCCCAGTCTTGGCAATGAACTACTTTTACTCTCAGGACTGGTAGGCACTGGGGAAGGGGCTTGTTCAGCTGGTGTCTCCCAGATCCATGAGACAGTAAATGCCTCAGACATACCAGCTTGATGGTGGTCTGTGCCTGGGCTGTTCATGCATGGTTGAAATCTCTTTCTAGTGTTTTGGCTTTTCGTTCCATATCTCCTGCAGTCTCTGAAAAGACAAAAGGATGTTGTCTTAAAAGTCCTGTGTTCAGTGATATTGAAGGTGTTTTTCAGCCTAAACAATTTTGTGATTCTGAAAATAATGGTGGTGGCAAATGTGCTTGAGGAAAGGGCAAAGCCTTGGTGGTTTTTCCATGTAACTTCAGTTACTAAATGCTGTGCCCTAGCAAAACCAAATCAGGCTGTCCTTGAAGCCAAGCATGGTTGGTTTTGTTCACGACTCAAATGAGCAATCTTCAACAAAAAACCACAAAATGCTGAATTAAGCCCTGCACAGAAGTAGCTATTCTGCTTTTGAGATACTGCACTGGTGTCCCAGCATAATGCTGGGATAAGGTGTCATCTTTAGCATTCATTATGAATTCCAGGTCCTGACAAAGGACTTCACAAAAAAAGACTTCAGCTGACTTCACATTTATCCCCTTGAAAATCGTGCTGTTGGGTTCACATTGGGTATATAAAGATCACTGATTCCTCTGACCTAAGAGGCTAACCCAAACCCAGACAACTGCAGTGCTCAGATCTCTGCCATGTTTAACCCAGATGTTGTAGTGGAGTTTGTGGTCTCCACAGCACATCAGGAGTATTTTCCATGTAGGAATGTCACGTTGCTGAGGGGTGTCCTTTTCTCCTTCTGCTGCCCAGAGCATCTGCTCACGTCGGGTTGCTGCTACCCCTGTGCTGTTGGTATTTGCAGGTAAAGGAGGAGTCAGGAGAGAATGCCCCAGTGCTGAGTGATGATGAACTCGTGTCAATGTCCGTACGGGAGCTGAACCAGCACCTGAGGGGTCTCACCAAAGAGGAGGTCATCCGTCTGAAGCAGCGGAGGCGCACGCTGAAGAACCGGGGCTACGCTGCCAGCTGCCGCATCAAGCGTGTGACTCAGAAAGAGGAGCTCGAGAGGCAGCGGGTTGAGCTGCAGCAAGAGGTGGAGAAGCTGGCCAGAGAAAACAGCAGCATGAAGCTAGAGCTGGATGCCTTGCGCTCCAAGTACGAAGCACTCCAGACCTTTGCTCGTACTGTGGCGCGAGGGCCTATTACCCCGACCAAAGTTGCCACCACCAGTGTCATCACCATCGTGAAATCAGCTGAAATCTCATCCAGTTCTGTGCCCTTTTCAGCAGCCTCCTAGTGCCCTCGGTGGGGGGAACTAGCAGCCTTTCAGAGGGGAGGGGATAAGGCTCTTATGCATTGTTCCGGAGTCCTTGGTCACGTCAAGAATTGGCATTTTAAGAAGTCTCTTCCAAAAGTGCAAAAAACAGAAGAATATAAAAAAAGAAAAGAGAAATACAAACAAACCCAAAGGGTTCCTACAAAGGGAACTTAACTGGCTGCTTCTGTCTGGACTCAGTGGCTCCATCAACCTCTCGTGTCCAGGATTTGAGCTCTGTATGCAGTACAAATTGCAAGATCTGCTTCCTCCTTCCCTCTGCCTCCACAAACCCCTCTCAGCTTGGGCAGCTTTCCAGCTGGGAGAAGATACCTGAGGAGCCTCCGGAGTCTTCGTGAATGATGCTCAAGAGCCAGGAACATATGGACCGTAGAAATCATCGTGTGAGATGAATGTATGGGAAAAAGAGTTTCCTTTAGTGGCCTCCTACTCCTTGTAAGAAGGGTCTCCCCTACCTTCCCCACTTCCATCTGATACTATGAGGGCAGGAATATAGGCTTTTTGGGTTTGATTTCATCCTGCTAACAGTGGATGGGAGTGGGAGGATGATGGAGATAAGTGCTTGGGTCTGACCACACCCATTAAGAATAACCTTTTGTTTTCAATCCATGCTGTTAAAATATGGAAAAATATATATTTTACATATTTTAATATGCCCCATTACCTGTGTGGCCTGTAAAAAAACTACATTGCAGCCTCCTTTATTCCAAGCCCAAGTTTCCCGATAGCTCCTTCCCAAAGGTGTGCCTGTGAATTGGGTATATTTATGCAGTTTATTTCTTCCAAATGATCCACAGTCTTGAAGTAGCAGCTTTTTTTTTCCTGGGTTACCTGAAGCTGAAGGGAGGGAGGCACAGTAAATGCTGTGAAGAGCAGTTTGGTGAGGAGGAGAAGAGGAGATGAGGAGGAAAAATGCTGCATGTATTACTGGCGGAGGCAGAATTGGCTGTGAGAGAAGGTGGGACAGTTCTGCTGGGATCAGCACTACGAGAAGGGGTTTGTGCAGAGGATTTCAGAAGGATGTTTTTAAAGCACTGAAGTGTAACTAGAGGGCAATAGCATTCAGCTAGGAGGAGAGAAGTTTAGAGTCTCCTCCTTGACAAAAGCATTGGTATGTTAGCAATGAGCATCCTTAGCTGGAGAGCTGTGCTCATCATCAGTCCTTGGTGGTCAGAGAAGGGCTGTGGGTAGGTCAGATGGGAGCTTGGAAGAGTCTTTCCCTCTCCATAGCACATCTGATGCTGAATTTGGGATCCAAAGAGTACAGTGAACAACCCTCAGTGTTCAGACAACCTGTGTGAATGTGACCCTGAAACTTGATGCTTTCTCTTGCAAGTGGGTGAGTTACAATGAGGGCAGGATGGAAAATCAATGTGCGTGTAGGGGACAGAAGAATTGGGATCGAGAAGTCGTTTGTTTGGCTCTGAGCAGTGGTTTGGGAGAGGGATTTCTGGCTTGGCAGTGGGCAGGATTTGGGAAGCTGAAAGGAGAGATTCTGCTGTCACGCAGCAGTGATGAAACAATGAATGTTTCCAGGTCACTGTAAAAAAAATAGCTATGTTGGTGTTTGTGTGTTTTGTTGTTGTTTTTTTTTCTTCTTGAAGTAGGAAAGGAAAGGGACTGTGTGTTTTGTAGGGCAGGTTAGAGACTTACGGAATGGACGATGCCTGTTGTTATGCAGGTGAGAAAAGAATGAGATTACTGAGGTTTTAAGATGAGGAGAAGAGCTTAGAGAATTTGGGCTCTGGAACAAAGATCACTGAGAATTCATAAGTGGTTTGGACTGAAAGAGAATAATCAAGTGCTACCATTGTTGGAAAGAGGACAGTGAACTGGCATCTGACACCCAGTATAATTTGTTGTTTGAGGCTTTGTCTTGCCTTGAATAGCAGTAAGTTGGTAGAAATTTAGTGAAGCCCTACTTGTCTTTGGAAGAAGTTGTTAGCTTGCTTTTTTTTTTTTTTTCACCTTGTCATCGGAGTCTCTGGATTTCCCAGGAGGATCCTTTGTGAAATAGGTTAATGAAAAGAAGAAACCTCAGACTTGGTTCTCATTCAGTCCCCAACATCGACATCCGTGACTTTACTGAGCCAGAAAGGGTGTCAGTGAAATGCTTCCTGAAGGCTCGTTCCCCCTGCCAGATCCACGTGTTTTGGAGGGGAGCAGGGAGTTTCCTTCAAGTGATTTTCCAACACATAGAGTTTGGATGGCACTTAGTGTTACCTCATTTCTCCTCCATTCCCTCCCTATCTCCAAACAGGCAGATCGATGTCCTGTGTATCAGTACCAGTTATTGACTCCCACAGCAGAAGCTGAGGAAGAGAAAGATGTTACGGTCATTTCCTGGTCCTCTCATGTTCTCCAGCTCACAGACATTGGACACTTTCCCAGACCTTACAGGTGCCTCCAAAAACAGGCAAAATGGAGACTCCTGGCACTGTTGGGGCTTTAAGTGAAAACTTTAATGAAAAAGGCCAGTTGACTTGAAAATGCCCAAATGCTTCCAGTCTTTAAAACAGCTCCAGAGCTCCATAACATTCCTGGCTAGATAGGAACACCCTCTGGCTGCCCTTGACACCCCTCTGGGGAAATCAGACCTGTCTCACTGAAGGGGACAGAGGTTGAACTTTGTTCCTGGGGTCTTCTTGCTGTTGGAATGAGTTGAGAAACATATCTTTATGTGGCACTTCCCTTGTGGCCAAGTATTTCTTTTTTTTCCAGTTCTTGGAAGGGTGCCAAAGGCTTGTCCAAGTGATTGCTAGTTTAGTGCTGGTAGGCACTTAAATCTCTGGTCACTCGATAAAGAACAAGAGGCCTGGGTGTTGTTAAAGCTGTTGATACCATAGCCATGGTAGGTAATCCATATTGGATATCCATAAGGACCACGTGGAAATATTTAAAGAGAGAGAAATATATATATAAATATATAATTATATACATTTTATCGTACAGATTTTTCGTAAAAAAGAAAAAAAATAATTTTTTTTCCAAGTTTGATACTGTAAATCTTTATTAAAAGAAATTGCCAGTCCAGGGCTCCCTGGGTGGTGACCTGGAGGAGAATGAAATGTCCTGGCTAAACTTCCACAGAGGGATCAGAATTGCAAGGTAACGTGGAGGGAGGAATGACCCGAAAGCTGTTGATCGCGTTGGAGACCCAGCTCCTCCACCCTCCTCCCTGGAGGGCCCTCCAGCTTGGGGTTGTCGCGTTGCATTCCTCTGGGGTTCGGTTTGTTTCTGTTGTGTTTTATTTTTTTTTTTTTGTTTTGTTTTGTTTGGTTTTTTTTCTCTCCGTCCTGCACTTCTTAGCCTGACGCCCAGGGCGAGCGCGGCGCGGGGCGCTGGCGGCGTGGGACGTGCAGCCGCACCTCCCGCCTCTCTCTGCTGCAGTGCTTTGGATGCCGGGGCTCCCTTCTCTGCCCCTCTTAGTTTGTCCCCCCAACCCCGCTGAGGAGGAGTGGGGGATCTGATTTTTGGGTGCTGGGATCCTCTCCCCTGGGCCTGGCCTTTCTTTGGTTGCTCCCCATCCGCAGTGTGACGTGGGAAGCGAGGGCTGGGTGGGAGGCAGGAGAAGACGAAGGCGTCGGGAAGGGACACCTCTGTTCTCGTAGACTTTGCTGTGCTCTCTGTTGGGAGTGGGGAACCTTTCCCTCCAGGGCAGCTCCAGATCCCTTTGAAACAAGGCAGCATCTCTGCTCCTGCCCAGCTCTACATCTGCCAGGAGGAGACCACAAAGTGCAGAGACCTGGGTGCCACGGCAGCTCCGGGACAGCGGGAGGGACGAGGCGCTGGCACTGGGCTGGGGCGGAGGCGAGCTGCACCACAGAGTGGCTCAGACCCGGGGAGGAGGAGAAGGTGGCAGTTTTTTCTCTCTCGAATCATTTAAACTTCATTGTCATGATTGTTTTTATTTAAAAAAAAAAAAAAGGGAAAAAAAAAAAAAAAAAAGCGGAAAAAAAAAGAAACAAAACAAAACTGAAAAACTTTTGTAATGTGGATTTGTTTTCCTTCGTCTGTATTTCAGTCTGCTGGGGTGTTTCTGTAGATGGTGGATACTTGCTTTCATTTTTTTAATGATAGAGGTCTTCTGTTTTAAGTTGTTTTTTATCACCAGCTCATTCTATCCTCTGTGGTTACTCAGTAATTTCATTTCAATATTTATTTTTGTGCTGCTTTTTTATTATAAAATAAATTATTGATATACCAAGCAATGTGGATTCCTGTTTGTAAGGCGAATAGCCCTGTGTATGTGTCCATTACTTCTCTTGACAGCCACAACGTAATTTATTGCTGTAAATTTAGCTGCAGTGACTGGTTTTTTTGTACCTTTCCAATAAAGCATTTTCTGGTTTCAGACTTGCCCTGGTCTATGGTCAGCGTTTTGGAGCCTGAATTGATCTTCAGGGGAGTGTTTTCCTCGGGATTTTTTGCTGGCTGTCCCCAGTGCAGCACCCGGCTGGCCGTGGCGCTGCGGTGACCGAGGTGTTTTTTGGAGGCAGGCTGGGCTGAGGCGAGTGGGATGGCAGCTTGGGCTTTTGCAATCATCTGACCCAACCTCCTGCAGCCCATCTCAGCCTTGCTGTGGTGCTTTCTTGGGACACTTGGAATGTGCTCCAGGGATAGCTGTTGTCCGAGCTGTTTGTCAGGTCGATGCCGTGCTCAGACCGCGTGTGTCTGTTCCTGACCCAGGGGCTCTGCACAATCAGGGGGTGTCTGTGTTAGCACAAGCAGGACTGACAGCTCAGCAGGCACCTGCCTGTAGTTGTGATGCTGAGCAAAGCCACTTGTGGCTTAGAGACACTGTGACCTGTCTGGAAGTGCTGGAGAGAGACACTCCTCTCTCTTCCTTCGGGTTGTGGAATATCCCTTCATGGTTTCCCTGTGTGACTGCTTGTGAATAAACTGCTTTAACCCCTTACATCAATACTTCATCTTTTTGCTTTTCCCTACTGGGGCCTTTGAAAAGGTGGTACCTTTTGCCAGTGAGCTTTCACGGGTTGTGTTGGCTTTAATTCCCTATTTCAAAGGGGAGAGTTTCTTGAGGGAACAGCTGAAGGGGGTAAAACACTTGGCCTGTGTTGAGGCAGCAGGTTGGAGACAGATGGGTGTGTTGGCCAAAGCTGGAATTAAGAGGTAGGGCAAAGTGAAGAGGAGCAGGGCTGAAAGGCTTTGTGTGTCAGCAGGTAATGGATGGTCATTAGTGGGGCCAGGCAGGCTTGGCTGAGCAGGCACGTGGCTGAAGCCTGAGGGTGATGGCAGTCTCTGTGCTGAGCAAAAAAAGCATCATCAGCTGCTTTGGCTCCTGCCTGGAGTCACTGCAGCAAGGAGCTGGTGACAACAGAGGGGACAGGGAGATGGGCCAGTTGTGACTGTTGGAGGGATGGAGGAACATTAGTTCAGAGGACAGGGGCATCAGGAATGGGCCAGGTGAAGGTTCATAAGTGAAAGAAAGCTCAACGTTCACCATGCATAGGGGAGGAGCATAGAAGGTCTCTGAACAAGGTGGTGAAAGCACAAATCCTGCTCTCTGGCACAGGTCTGGCAGTCTGGTGCCTGCCAGCAGCTGTGCCCAGGGACTTGTTGGTGAATGCTAGCACCCAAAAAAAGAAGTGTCTGTCTCTGACTGGGTGCTGTGCAGCGAGCAGCCATGCATGAGAGCTGCCTCTGCTGTGGTGCCAGTGGCTGCCTTCCTTCCCCTCTGCTTTTAGGGAGGTCAGCTTGAGCTCCTGCAGGTGTAGTGGCAGAGTGTGCCTGTGATGACCATCCCTGATATGAGTGGGGTGTAAACCTGCCTGATCCAAGCCCAAAAACACCAGGAGATCCAATAGCTGCAGCTCAGCCTTGTCCTTGGGGAAAGCCCGTTTCCTTCTCCTCTGAGCTCCTGCAGGTGTAGTGGCAGAGAGTGCCTGTGATGACCATCCCTGCCTGATCCAAGCCCAAAAACACCAGGAGATCCAATAGCTGCAGCTCAGCCTTGTCCTTGGGGAAAGCCCGAGGACAAGCGACAACGGGAAAACAAATCTGCCGACCACTGGAGCCTGCTGCTGGCAGTGAGAGACGCCTGTTCCTCCCGGGCTGCCTGCTGGCGTGGCTCCAGGCACAGCAGGCTCCTGTGTAGGTCACCCGTGTGCTCGCCGCCAGCTTTCCCGTGTCCTTGTTGAGGAGGTGGAGGAGACGCGTTAGCAGAGGAGACCGCGTCCAGCCAACATCAGCGCTGGCATTTCTGTTCCCCATGGATGCCTTTTGACAGCCTAAGGGTTTGAGGGCTGTGACAGCGCCCAGCCTGAGCCATCAGCTCTTGCCTCTCTCCCCTCTCCAAGAAGAAGGACGAGCAGGAGGCCCAGCCTCGCCGGCTGGAGCAGGGAGGGTGCCTGCTGTTGCCGTCGCGGCAGCCAGCTGGTGTCCAGCCCAGCACGGCTCCTTCAGGCTGGTATCACACTGCTGACTTGCATGAGTCACAGCTGACTTTTTTTTTCTTCCCCCCCCTTGTTTGGCTTGCAAGAAAGATCTGTTTTACATATAATACAGTAATCAGGGCTTGACATAAATAGGCAAATGTTATTGTCTGCATTGGGAATTGCACCTGCTGGCAGAGCAATGGAGGCAGCCCATTATGCAGCGGAGTCGATCAATTGTGCAATGAAGTACAACCACGGTTCTTGCTGTGTTCTTGTGCAAGTCTTTATCTCAGTGGCTGCGAGCACGCCAGCAGATGTGCCATCATCACCTTTGCAGTCTGTCCTCGCCCCAGGAGCCAGAGCAGCCTCTGTTCCTGCAGCTGTGGCTGTCCTCTCCCAGAGGGGTGAAGACCAAGATGTTCAGCTGAGATGTCCCTGCTTCTGTTCTGGCTGCATTACAAAGCCAAGCAGCCTTGTCCCCGAGTACTGAGGCTGCACTTTCTATGCAGGACAGTCTTGCTCCCAGGATGTGCAGGATCCTGGATGAATGCCTGGATGTGCACAGCATCTGGCTCTTGTTTATGGACCTTCCTGCAGGAAAAGTGGCAGCAGTCTCACCGGCTGAGCAGGTATGAGCAGCGCTCCGTCCAACCAGAGGGACTTGCACGACTGGCTGAGCTATAGGTTGCTCATGTGGAGTCTGGGCTATAGCATGCTAAGATTTCTCCAATAATAATAATAATAAACAGAGCTCATCTTGTTGGTGCTGGAGTCTGGGCTTAGCTTAGCTAAACCAGATCCAGCACCTCTGAAGCACTGCATCCCCAGCTTAGGTGAGGGGTGGAAGAGGTTCTGTGCAAGGAGAGGAAGCGAGAGACACGCACGTTCTTTGTGGAGTGAAAAAGATGAGCACAAATCCTGTAGGAATGCCAAAATGTGCAGGATGCTGCGTGTGCAGGTATTTCTGCTGGGCCAGCATTGAGGGGCAGGGAGGACGTTAAGCTTAAGAGCATCAGCATTATAGCAGGAACAGGCAGATCGTGGGCTTTGCTTGCTGAGCTCAGTGAAAATGCTTGCTTGCTCTGTGCAAGAAAATGCTGTTTATTAGAAAAAAAATAAATAATTTTGTGTTGTGATTTACATTTTGCAGCTTAAGAGCAGGGGGAAAAAAGATCCAGATTCTATGACTTGTGTTTAAAAGGTCTCCAAGCCTTATCCATTGGTTTGTTTGCCACATGACTGCAAATCTGAGGCTATAAATTTGCCCTCACCCTTCCACTAGCTAGCTACCATCCCAGACAACAGCCCAACCAGTGCCTAAGTTCATTCCCAGGGATCATCTCATTAACAGAAGAATAGAAATTAGACTAAGAAATGGGGAAGAAAGGAGAAGAAGTCTTAACAGAAGGATATGAACTCGCCATCACTGATACGAAGAGCATCACTCCATACACAGTCTTCCCTTGCCTGTGGTCTTGCCCCACGTGGCAACATCCCTCAGCACCTTTCTATCCTCACCATGGTCACCCACCTGGGCTCAGCTCCTGCTTGCCTTCCCACAGGTCAGGCAAAACCCAGGGATGGGGAATAGTGAAGGGTTAGGAGGAACAGACAGTTCCCACTAAGTGAATTCCTACCACCACCAGTCACAGTCTGGTTCCCTAATAAAGATTCTGATAAGGAAGCTGGAATCCCTTTTAACTTCTGATCCGTTCATAGATAAGCTGGTTTAGACATAAACAAGCACTTCTGTCACCAGCAGCTCTCAGAAATGCAGCTGCAGACCTCTGGTTAGTCCCAGTGAGGTCCTGCCACACTCCCGGGGGAGTTACTTGGACAGCTGCATCCACATCTGGAGGGAGAAGAGGATGACTTACTCTTTCTCCATGGTAAAGGTCTTTTGCACATCTCTATAAGCTTGCTGTGAGAAGGAGAGGGAGAAAGATGTAAAAATAAGGAATGACGTCTTTCAACCTTTACCGGGTTTTGAGGTGAAGCGAAGTCACCTTCCTGGGCTGGTTTTCTCCACGGAGCCCTTGGAGATCATTTTTTACTCAAATTGGGAGAAATTAGAGCAGAACTGTGCTGAGAAAAGCATTTCTCTCAGGCCTCAGCACTGCTTGGAGGTAAGAGTAGGGCGAGGGCGGCTGGTCTGTCCTGCACTCCAGCTCCCCTCCCTGCCTGGCATCCCCCAGCATTGGCACAGGGCTGGCAGAGAGACAGCAGCAGTGGGGCAGCAAAGCCCAGGCTGCAACACAGGGTGCAACACAGCTTCATCCATGACAGCAGGAGCTGGCACTATTTCACTTAACCTTTTCTGGGTTATTGCATCTTCTCTTTAAGAGACTGGCTTTTTGGATAGAGTTCCTGGATTCTCAGTATTCTGATTAGCCAGGCTGTCTCAGCCTCAAGACACCTGCCCTCTGCATGGATTACAACCTCTTCAGTGTCAGTGTCTCTTCTGATACCTCCTACAGCTCTTCATCTGACAGGATTAGCATTCTCTTTTCAATGTTTTTGCTCTTCCTGCTGCTCTGTCCATCTATCTTGGAGGCCACATGCCCGTTCTCCCCTGGTGCTTTGCGCTCTGCCTCCTGCATCGACTGCTGGGTGTACTGCTGGTATGCAGGAGAGAAGTTGTGGATGGCATCCTGCACGATGTCCTGGGGGCTGATGGTCTCCTTCAGCCCACTTGAGATGCTCTGCATCGGGGCGAGGTTTGCTGCAAAACAGGGAGAGCAGGAGGGTGATGGGACAGCAGACAATGAGCCCAAGTGATCCAAGACACTTCCCCTTAGAAATTGAAGATCAGGGGCTCATTGTGGGCCACGTCAGCTTGCGGTTCCAAGGAGAAGGAAGGCAATCCCAGCTCCATGTTCCAAAGGATAGATCTTCTCCAAGAGCATGTGGGTAACATCACCATCCCCTAATCCTACCCAGCCACACCAAGGTCTCCTT